GCGGTTGAGAGCTGGGCTGTGAAGTGCCTGCAGCCTCTGCAGCGCCAGTTCAATCCCCAGCCGCCAGGCGAGGGTCCCACATGGCGCGCAGACCTCTCCTGCCGCCCGCTGCTCCCCTCAGCAGTGTATTTCAGTCTATCTGCCTGTTCTGCTCACCGCTCTGGCTCTGGTGAATTCTCTCACCCTCCGGGCGTGTCTGACTGTACCCAGTGCATGTATAAATAAATAAATCAATTAAAAAAATACTAAAAAACAAAAACAAAAACAAACACTCCCAACCCCCAGGGCGATCTGGACGTCAGACACAAGGAGAAGCTCTGCTCCAGGGCAGCTGGAGATCAGACAGCCCCTGAGCTCCAGCACAGGCCTGGAGGCGCATCAACAGCATTCATTCCAAAGCTGGCCGTCCAGAGCGAAACCACAGCCAGGGAGAGACTCGGGGCTTAAACTTGGGGCTTTCTGACTCCAGAGTGTCAGTCTCTGTTTTAAACTAAATTACTCGGTCCAGGGTGACCTTCTGCTCTCTGGGCCTCAATCCCCCATCTGCAAAGTCAGAGACCGGACCAGATGGCCCCTCAAGACATTACATTACACTATGAAGCAGCTCCCTCTCAACCCCTCAATCCCAGACAGGCTCCCACCAAAGGCAGTGTGTGAATTTGGGTCCAAAATGCATAATTGACTTCGTATAATGCTCAGATAGCACTGCCATGACTCAAAGCACCCCACACCTGTTAACTCCTTAGGCTCTGTTATTATGCTCCATTCGCAATTGGGGTGCAAAGCAGAGAGAGGAAGTACCTTGTACAAGATCTCTCCGTGAGCTGGTACCCAAGCAGGCACTTGAGCCAGGCCATAGGGCCCTGCACACGGAGCCAGCCACAGCCACACGAGGAAGCCACCAGCACCCCTCCACCAAAGGGGGCTTCCTCCTCTGCACCCAGTCTCTGCCTGTGGGCACTCTTGTTTGATTTCACGTGCCAACGCTGGCTGGGGTGGGCATTCTAGAAAGCAGCAAAGCCACTGACCACCACTTTTCCTCCCAGCCTGGAGTGGGGCCTGGTCCTTTTCCCCCACAGCTGGGCGCGCAGAACAGAAGCAAGCGTTTCTCACTATCACATGCAGAGGGCTCGGCAGATAGTTCGAATAACTGCATTAAGTTGATAACAGAAGTGATATCACGTGGAAGGTAAATCCACCTGCCTGCATGTCTTAACCTTTGCCCTTGTTCTACCTGGAAATGCACCCTCGAATAAATCAAGGCCTTGGGAAGGTCGCGTGCAGATTTTTCAGATATCTGAGGTGGAGCCTGCTGCCCTGCCAAGATCTTGATTCTCCAGCGTAAATATCCAGTGAAAAGTCCATTTCCAGGGAAATGCGGGATTGGAAGCCAAGGCCTCAGGCCACGGCCGGCTGCCCCTCGCCCCCCGTTCCCACTTCCCTCTCTCTGGGGCTGTGATCTTCCTCCCTCTTAACGTCTCCCCTCTTCCTGTCCCCCTCATGTTTTACCCCCGCTTTGCTTTTTCCTCCTCCTCTCTCCAACTTCTAACCCCTGTTCTAAGTCCCCCCCACACACAGGAGAAACGCCACGCTTTTGTCCTTGACCTGCAAGGCCCACCGGTGACCTCCCTGGCCCGCCTTCTCCACGTTCTCCGAGCATCATGATGCTGTTCGCCCAGGTTTCCAGTCCTCCCCTGGACGTGGCCTCGGGGGCCTGCCAGCCTCCCTTGCCCGTCCGTGTGGCCATGGGGCTTGTGGGGACCGATGAGACGGGGCCGTGTGACACATGTCACGCCTGCCAAACACTTGTCTGCCGCCCAAGTCTCCGCCTGCCTCATTCCCCAGGGAAGATGTCCCAAGTGACCCTCACGACCCGGGGAGGGCGCGGGGAACCTGTCTTTAGATTGTGTGTGGCTTGTTGCTGCCCGCACTGCCCAAGCTGCCGAATGTCCCTCAGTCAGGGGGTCTTGCCCTCCCCCCGGGCCTCTCACCAGCCCTGAGTCCACGCCACGCCCTCTTCCCTGGCCCACTGGGCAAGTCCACTCAGCCGTTGAGACCTGGCAGTGAGACTCCACCAGGACGGTCTCCTGGCTTTCTACCTAAGGCGGCCTGGGGCATCTGCGGGGTCACAACCTTGGGGGTGCCACGCAGCATCTGAAGCCAGGACCGGGAGGGCGAAGCAAGCCAGAGGACAGTGGGGCGATGGCAGTTTTCATGGCCAAGGGCTTGGGCGCTACGAATCAGTTTTCTAACCCAGATCCTGAAAGTTCATGCAGAGGTTTGAACCGAGTTTAGCCTTGTGCACCCTCCAGGTGGTCTCAACATCTAGAATTTTTATTTTTTTTACATTTTAAAAGGGCAGGTTTATTGGGAAAAGGAGAAAAAGAGAGGCCCCTGCAGAGTCACAGGCGGGCGGGAGAGGCTGCCCTTTACAACGTCGGGGATTTTATCTTAAGAATATGTCCTTGGGCAGCTTCTGGGAGCGGGAGAGTAGGCAGCGCGCCCGCTCCTGGAGGTGGCAGGGCGCTGAGCTTACCTTCCCCGAGGCCCGGCCTCCCCGGACGCCTGGAGGAGCCGCCCTTTCTGGGTTGGGTTATTCTGCCTCCTTGGTCTGCAAGACCTGCGAGCCGGAGGGACGCTGGCCCTGCAGGGTAGCAGCCGGGCTCCCCGGGGGTTGCTGGGCAGTGGCTCAAGGGGGGGGACTTCAGGCCTCCTTCCTGCCTGCCTGGCTCTGGTGTCCCGGAACAGTCTGCACACTGTCCCCTCTGCACAGGAGCCTTGACCACTGTCAAGGGGAGTTCACTGAAAGCATGAATATCTTCCTGCAGACAACCATTTTCCTTCTTGGTCCCCCTTCCCTCCCCACTCGCCCCTCTGCCCCTCCCCACCCAGCCCAGCCCTGGGCCATGGATGTGCAGCCCTCGGTTGGCTCCTCCACTTCCTCGTCTGTATGTCTTCCAGGAGTTACCAGTCACATCCAGACTTCAGCTGCCTCCTCTGTAAAGTGGGGACCCTCTCGATCTCATAGGGCTCCCATGAAAAGCACGAGGGAAAATGCATTCAGTGTCTCAGGGGAGGACGCCCTTGAATGAGGAGCCTCAGTGCCCGGGAGACTGGAGTGTTCGGGGAAAGCCTCCCATTTGAGGTGACAGCTGAACTTGGGGAAGCAGCCACCCGTGCAACAAGCTGGGAGAAGAACCTTCCAGAACGAGGGAAGTAGCAATGGCAAAGACCCAAGATGGCCAAGCTCAGTCAATGGCTGCTCCCCAGGCAGGGGAGCATCAAGGCCACAGCTGTCCCCCAGGGCACATCGAGACCACAGCCACCCACCATGACCTCATCACACACCTCACTAGTGAGTCCCCAGCAGTGAGCCTCACTCGGCTGCCAGGAGGGCAGCTTCTGCGGCCATGCGCCCACTGGGATGGAAGATCTGAGGCTATGGGGCTATTGCCAGCAGCAACGGGTCTTGGAGCACAGTGGAGCCACCAGCAATCACTCCGACCCCCTCAATCTGCCTGTCCTCCTGGGTGGAGCCTCTAGCGCACTAGCCCGGGCATCTATTTTCCCTGAGGTGAGCCTGGGGCCCCGGGGAAGGGCCAGTCCCTCAGCATAATCTGGTTCCTCCATCACTTCTCTAAAGGTGCCCACAGGGTATCGGCACCAGTGCCTGCCCACGTAGTCCAGTGATGGGAGCTCACACTCCATGAGGGCCAGGGATGCCCAGCCTTACCCTGGGGGTCTGCTCTTTTTCTCCAGCCAAATCCATCTATTAATTCAGTAACCTTGAAGAAGTGGGCAAGTTTGTAGATCAAATAGTCTCTCAAGATGAAACCAAGAAGATACAGAAGAATTGAATAAACCCCATTACTAGCATGGAAATTGAAAGAGTAATTAAAAATCTTTGCCAAACAAAAGCCCAGGGCCAGACAGCTTTACAGACTAGTTCTATGAAAACTTTGAAGAACTTATGCCCATCCTGCTCAAATTATTGCTCAACACCCAAGAAGAGAGAAGGCTTCCTGGTGCATTTACAAAGCTGGCATCACCTTAACACTGAAACCAGAGGAAGAGGCCTCGCATCCATATAGCTAAATCCCTACAGAGTGTGAAAGAGTCATCCCTCCATCCCCTCCCCCACTTCAAAGTGCCAAGGTCTTTCTGCAATATCAAAGACGCATCACCCTTGAACCCAGACTTGGCTGGCCCTCCCGCTTCAGCCACATATTCCCTGAACAATACATAAGACGTTGCATCGAAGCCTCCAGAGGCTGACTGGAAATTGCTCTAAACGCAACCCAGTCCACGCAGGAAAAGGGTTCATGTTATATGAGTAAGAGGGGGCTAAGGGGAGCCACCAGGTTGCCAATCTGGGCACAAGCCAGGCTTGATCTGCCCCCAGGCCCCGGTAGCTGGGCTGCCCCCACCCCATGCCTAGATCTTGGAAGCAGAGTGGAATATAGGTGTCCCTGGCCTGCATCGTCCCACTGGATCCCACCCCAAAGCCACTCATGAGCTGCCCCCCAAGTCGTCACGCTCCCATTTAACCTCTTTTCCTCCTAACAGTCTCCTTTCCAAGGAAGGCCAGCAAGGCGTGCTGGGTGGTGGGGTGGGGGGCGGCTCTCTGGGAAGAATGCGGGGTGATCCTAAACACCAAGCGTGACACCTGGCACTTACTGTTATCACATTATTAGCGGGCCTTTCCCTCCACGGTGGTCCTCTTTATTACACCATGTGGTTCTGATTTTTTTAACCAAGTCCCAAGGAAGAGATCGCAGTAGAAATCTCTGTTTTTGAAGGATTTCCTAAGTGTCCTCCTCAAGAACACTGAGTGGGGGCGGGGAGAGGGTTAAAGATCATATCAGGTAGATTTGTCTTTCTTATCAGGATCCTTAGCAGCCCTGGGGGGACAGCTAGGGCAGGTGCAGGTGTACATAAGGACCACGGTGCTGCAGGCGCAGAGCCAGCCCCGCCCTGAGCACTTGAGTCAGGAAGGAAGCATGAAGTGGCTTGGGGTCCTCTGGCTGGCGGCCCTCTCAGAATGCTTAGTCAAGTAAGTTTGGGGACATGGGAGAGACGGGAAGTGGGGGGGGCAGCAGCCTTCTTTCTGGGTTCTTTCTTGCTTCCTTCTTCTCCCTAGCATCCGGGGAGAGAGAGGGGAGGGCAATCTTTCTCCATCTTAATGTTCTGGGCCGCGTGTACTGCTGAGTATCTTGCCACTTGCACTGTGGGGCGTCTGAAATCGGCCCCCAGTGCACGGAGGGTATTGGGGAGAAATGAGTGACCACTCCGCATTGGTGGGGACGGTTTTTAAAACCGAGGAAGCTGACTGTGACACTTGTCTTAGCTGCAAGGCAGTCAGTTTTCCATACCTGGCCAGCAAATCTTCCAAGTGTCTGTGAAGGCCTTCATCATGGACACTGTCCAGATGGTCTTGTGAGCTCCTTTGATCTCAAAGATGTGTCCTTAGGCAGCTTCTGGGAGCGGGGAAGGAAGTAGACCCACATTCCCAAGGGGATGGGAGGAGCCTCTCTGCCCTGGTCCAGCTGTGCAGTCACCCCTCTGATTGTCTTCCTCCCCAGGGGCCCAGGGGTGCTGGGGCAGGCCTGCAGAGTTGCACAAGTCCTGGGGCGCCCCTCACATCAGCAGTGATGTGCAAACGGCGCTCTTTGGACTTGCTCAGTGCACATCCTGTGCAGCTGTCCGCTGGGTCCCAGCTCCTCCTGCTCTGTCCACTCCAGGAGTGGGTGTCCCTCCGTCTTCCTCTTTGTAGACCTCCCTTCTATTTCTCTCTATCTTTGGATGTCTTTGTGTGCAGAAATCTCTGGGATTTTTGTTTGTTTGTTTCTGTTTTGATTCTTTCTTGTTCCTCTGCCCTTCTCATTTCCCTAACGTATTGTCTGTCTCGGCCCCCTTGAGTGTCCCCATGTCCTAGTTCCTCTGTCACCCCTCCTGTCTCGATAAACCCTGGAAAGAGAGCAAAAGGGCCACATCTAGACCCAGCTTTGCCTCAAACAAGCAGTGGGCCAGCGACTAAGTCACAAGCTCCCTGAATTTCCACTCCCCCCTCCCTCCCTCCCAGGGCTTCTTTGAGAAAGATACAGCGAGGTTGCCACAGCAGCTGTGGTGCAGACGATCGTCACCATCAAGACCTCCCGACATGGGAGTGTGACAGCCTCACCCCACTTAATACCCAAACATCCCAGAGAAGGGGGTCATCATTCCACCTTTTCACAGATGGGGAAACTGAGGATCTGAGTGGTGATGTGGCTCACTCAAGATTACACCATCGACCCTGTAGCCCGACCTAGGTCCACGACTGGCCCCCTCATGTCCTGTCCTAAGACGACGCTCAGGAACACAGCGGACGATCACAGCTCGGGCGCTGCTGCAGCTGGCAGCCCTGGCAGCTGGTTTCTGTCTCTAATTTCTTTCGCTTTCCCAATGTTGCCTTGAAGGATCCCCCTGAGGCAGGTCAAGTCCATGAGAGAAGAACTCAGGGAAAAATACTTGCTGGACGGCTACCCAGAGAAGCAGCCCGACATGCCAGCCTACAAGTATCTTCACAGATATCTGAACGAGGACAAGACTTTCATGCCCCTGAGGAATTACCATGACGTGAGTGTGGTGGAGGGGACGGCACCCCCGAGCGCACCCCAGAGTTCTGGATGAACATGGGTGGTCTGGAGGCGGGAGCGAGAATATTGGGGCAGGGGCTCCCATAGGCAGAAACACCATAGGGCAGGGACCCCAAGCCTGCCGTGCTCGAGGGGAGATATGAGGTATGCTTGCTCTCAGGTCTTGGGGTGCAGTGCCCAGGCCCAGGTGGCAATGAACACCTGTCTCTGTGCCAGCGAGTTATCACCAGGCACCAGTGAACCATGTGTCTGGTTTGAGGGGGTTTGCACTGAGCTAGGTGAGTCACTGGATTTTAGGTGAAGGCTGAGCCACATCTGATCAAATGACAAAGTCAAATGAAAATCGGGCCTCCCCGGTGGCGCAGCGGTTGAGCGTTGGGTTGAGAAGTTGCCCGCAGCCTCTGCAGCGCTGGTTCGATCCCGGCTGCTCCCCGGCCACCGGAGGAGGGTCCCACATGGCGCGCAGACCTCTCCTGCCGCCCGCTGCTCCCCTCAGCAGTGTACTTCGGTCCTTCTGCCTGCTCTGCTCCCCGCTCTGGCTCTGGTGAATTCTCTCACCCTCCCGCTCTTTTGACTGTACCCGGTGCTTGTATAAATAAATAAAAATAAATTAAAAAAAAAAAGTCAAATGAAAATCAAGGTCAGTACCCCAGGTAGAGGGGTGTAACCCCTGCAGCCCCAAGAATGACTCCAGTTAAAAGTCATTGAGCCCTTATGGTACAGGATCTTGTAAAAAACTAACATTATGGGAACTGTTATTGATAGCAAAAGGTCCTGTCTCTTCTTCAAGAAAGCATCGCTCGGGCCTCCCCGGTGGCGCAGCGGTTGAGCGCTGGGTTGCGAAGCTGCCCGCAGCTTCTGCAGCGCCGGTTCGATCCCCGGCTGCTCCCCGGCCACCGGAGGAGGGTCCCACATGGCGCGCAGACCTCTCCTGCCGCCCGCTGCTCCCCTCAGCAGTGTCCTTCGGTCCTTCTGCCTGCTCTGCTCCCGGCTCTGGCTCTGGTGAATTCTCTCACCCTCCCGCGCTTCTGACTGTACCCAGTGCTTGTATAAATAAATAAATCTTAAAAAAATTTAAAAAAAAAAAAAAAAAAAAAGAAAGCATCGCTCAGCCTGAGACAGGCAAAGAGTAAATAGTGTTCAGTAAAAGGTACTGATGTGACACTGTGTTGCTATGACATGTTTTGAGTTTAAAGGAAGTGGCCTGGGGTCACCTAGGAGGGCTTCCTGGAGAAAGAAGCACTCTAGCTGGGCTCTAAGAGTAGAAAGGCTTCAGGGGAGACCGAGGCACTGGCCTGAGCAGGGGCTGCAAGGTGGGGCAGATGCAAAGTGATTTCAGGAGACCTGGGGACACTCTGATGGAAGCAAGCACCCCAGGAATTAGGGGAGACCTGGGTAGCCAGGCCTGCCCCTTCACCTCAACTCCACCCTGCAGATGGCCTACGTCGGCAACATTCATGTTGGAACACCCCCTCAGAACTTCAAGGTCATCTTCGACACGGGTTCAACCCACCTGTGGGTGCCCTCCATCTACTGCTCCAGCGCAGCCTGCAGTGAGTACCCCGTCCCTCCTTCTGCATCCCATACCCCCCTTGGTCCTTGACAGGCCCTAAGGATGCTCACCCCCTCCCATGTCTCCTGCAGCTAATCACCAAGTCTTCGACCCTCAGCAGTCATCTACCTACGTGACATCTTACGAGACTTTTAGCATCTTCTACGCCTCCGGGGAGGTGTCCGGATTTCTGGCCTCTGACAATGTTCAGGTAGCGAGGAGACGGGAAGACCAAGAGGTTGCTGCGGCCAGCCTGCCGGGTGTGGTCGCCGCTTACTGGCCAGCCAGGAGCAGCCCATCCTTTCCAGCAGCTGGCTGCCTGCTGAGGGGTCTGGGGGCGGATGTGGCTCTACTCCCTTCCCCGTGGTTACAACTCAGGGCTGCTTTGGGCGTGAGCAGGCAGAGGTGAGGAAAAGAGGTGGGTACCTTTGTGTTCTCAGCGCCCCTGCCAGGCACCTTAGCCAGAGTAATGCCCACGCGCTGCCACAGCCCCACGCAGCAGCCACAGAGAGTGAGTGCTTTGCCCAAGGGCACATCCTGGTGAGCAGTGGAGAGGAGTCAGAAGTCATACATGCGGGGGTCGTGGCGGGGAGAGGTGTGCTGGAGGCTCTTGGGGCAGCCAGGGCTCCAGGTCCCCGAGTAGGGAAAGCCAGACCCCAATAAATGGGTGCTTACCTTTGGGGGCCTGAAGGATCTGATGAAAACTAGATTCTTAAAGAATCTAATAAAGACTATGGACTGTGTCCCCCAAGGCACCTGAGCACGCACACACACACACACACACACACACACACACACACACACTCGCACCCATTTCCAAAAGCACATTTCCCAGGTGGAACTTTCACACCAGCCCTGATGGTCATGCAATGTCACGGGCCTCTGTGTTCCTGGGTGGACGCAGACTCCACCAGGAACCGCAAGGAATTTGCTCTCTTTCTGTCATCAGACTAGCAGAAGATAAAAAAAGGCTATCCTGCTCTTCGCTCATTTTGTCCTCAAGGGGGAACGATTTAGTCCCCTTCTGAGCCTCAGTTTCCCCACCTGTTAAAAAAAAGGAACCAGGGATATTTGACAATTCAGAAGATGTTGGCAAGGGGAGCAAGAGTTGGAGCAGACTGCACAAACACCACCCACATTCCTGATGAGCTTGTTACACCCATCGGGGCTCAACTGGGGCACTGCCAGGCCTCAGCTTTTCATGGTAATGCCCACCTCCACTCAGCCCAGCCCTGCCACATCTCAAAGCCTTACACGGGAACACCTTTCTCTTCCTCAGATCGGGAACCTTATTGTCATGAACCAGACACTGGGCCTGACCCTGAAGGAGGGCGAGGCTATGAAAAATGGGCCCTTCGATGGTATCCTGGGCCTGGCCTACCCTGGCCTCTCCCGCCTTAAGATCACCCCCTTCTTTGACAACCTGCGGCAGCAAGGCCTCCTTTCTCAGGAAGTCTTCGCCTTCTACTTAAGCAGGTAAGTCTGCATTGAACAAGCCCTTTCTCCAACACAATCTGATCCAGAAGTTTCCTGAGAGATAGTCTAGTACAGGGGTCAGTCAACAAACTGTGGTCTGAGGTCCAAATCTGGCCCACCACTCACTTTTGTAAATAAAGTTTTATTGGCTCACAACCATGTTCATGCATGTATGTTTGTCTGTGGCCGCTTTTGCTCTGTAACGGCAGCCTTGAACAGTTGCCAGAAAGATCCTGCAGTCTGTAGTGCTAAAATATCAACAAGCTGGCCCTTTGCAGGAAAGTTTGCTGACCCCTTGCGGTTCAATTCCCTCATTCGACAGATGGGGAAATGGAGGCTCAGAGAGGAGGTTTGCACACAATTTCTCTGTTGGTACTGGAATTGGCAGCACTGGAATTCACCCCTGAGGTGCACCTCCCCAAGAGCAGGGGTCACAAGGGTTCTGGGAGGGGAGGGGGGAGACCACAGACCAGAAGATTGAGGGTTGGGAAGACTGTGTCTTCCCACCAAAGGCAGAGGTGGACCCATGATTCCATGTGTGGTTGAGCTATGGGCTCCAGGAAACCTGGGTTCAAATCCCAGCTCTAGAGCATGATTGGAAGCTGCTTAGTTGATCTCTCTGAGCCTCCAGAACCCTGAGCCCAATCAAAAGAGATGACTCATTCAACAAATATTTTCCAAGCAGGTAGGGAGGGCAGGCAAGGAATACGTATAGACGTGAAAGCTGTATGAGGTGTGGCCCACGGTGGACACAGCCCCAGACAGTACCTGGCATTTCACCGCGCTTGTAGAGAGTCACCTGTTACTCCCCCCCACCCCCCCTCCCCCGGTAACAAGCTCTTCCTCTTCCTCCTCCCCTCAGCAAAAGCAAGGAGGGCAGCGTGGTGATGTTCGGAGGGGTGGACCCCACCTACTACATTGGCGAACTCAAGTGGGTGCCCGTGTCCAGACCCCTTTACTGGCAAATAACCGTGGACAGGTGAGTCCCTCCTTCCAAGGGCTGTCACGAAAAATGCTCCATGCACATGTGTGTGCACAGCGTGGACACACATAACTGCACATAGACACACTCATGCACACACAGAGACACACAGGTGCACACACAGACACACATAGACATGCTTGTGCACACACAGGCACACAGATGCACACACACATAGACACAGACACTCATGCACATGGACACACACAGACACACTCGTGCACATATAGACACACACATAGACACACAGACGCGCTCATGCACACACACACAGACACGCTGCCCAAGGATTCATAAACACCCCCCAGGTGCATGCAAGAACGGTGAGGGTGGGCTTGACCAGAGCGAAGGAAACGGGGGGCAGGATCGAACTGAAGGCTGTTCTGGGGATACCAGGGATTGCCGGTGGCCAGAAAGGTAGCAGAGTGACCCAGGTGACTGCTTGTCCCCTGTCAGCATCTCCATGGACGGGATTGTCATTGCTTGTTACGGAAGCTGCCAGGCCATCCTGGACACCGGGACTTCGCTGCTGGCTGGCCCGGCAACGGAGGTCCTCAACATCCAGAAGAGACTCCGTGGCAGGCACTACTACAATGAAGAGGTGCAGGGTCATGCCTGGGGTCACCCGGGGCTCCCCTCAAGGAAGGATACGCTAGGCCAACCTTGTCCCCTCCCTTCCCCTGACAGTTGGTGGTCCCCTGCGAGGCCAGGAATACCCTGCCTGACATCGTCTTCACCATCAATGGCTTCGACTTCCCTTTGCCAGCCAGCGCCTACATCCAGCTGATCCGCGTGGTGAGGGGTCAACCCCTGGTCTGGGTCTCAAATGTGGGACTTGCAGGAAAGGGGGGCTGCCACCCAGAGGCCAAGTCATGCCAATGCAGGCACTGCTGCGCCTCCACCCTCACCCCCAAGTTGAGGCGGGTGCCTCCCACAAAACAAACCTCCAGGTAGCAAAGGGCAGCCAGGACACCATCATCCTCAGATAAACAGGGAGCACCCGCCGGTGCAGCGGGGTGCTAGGCATAAGCAGAGGGGACACATGGCCTCTGTCCTCAAGGAGCTTCAGTTGAACCAGGACGCAGGGGTGGGGGAGCCTGGAAGTCAGCTGTGGCAGGCCCCAGCCAGGCGGCAGGAGCAGCGACAGGCGGGGACAGTCCCGGCGTGTTGTCCCACCATAATTACCAGCCAAGCGCGCTCCTCTCTCCAAGCGCCCTGGACCTAAGGTCACCCTGGACCTAAGCCACGACTTCCCCTTGGTAGCCCCAAGTCCGGCTCTGCGAAGGGGGGTATGAGCCCCTCCCCTGGTGGGGTGGTCACATGCTGCAGTGAATAAAAGATGCAGAGAGCTGGCAGCACCTGGCAGTGGCTGAGGCTGAGTAGATGCCAGCCCGGCAGCGTCTGCAGAGGGTCTGCAGAGGAGACCCAGGGGGTTCGTGAGCCTTTAAGAAAGAGGGGGCTGAAGCGGATCTAAACCCCAGCCTCACCGCAGCCCTCGGGGGCCTGCTCAGGGCAGGCGGGTCTGCCGGGGCTCCATGCCCAGGGCACCCCAAGGTGCCAGGGTACCAAGAGGCGCCGGGAGCAGACCCTGCGGGCTGCAGACCCCGGGGAGCAGGGGAGGGCGCGAGCCTGGGCAGGACGGCTGCCGGGGTCCCTCTCGGAGAGGAGGGGCTGGAGGACCGGGGAGAGGACAGGGGTTCTCTGCCGGGGGAGCAGCCCGACCGGCTGGGAGGGGATCCCGGCGACCCTGGGCCCCCGTGCGCTCCCCTCTTCTGCAGCGGCGCTCGCCCCCGGAGGGCAGGAGCGGGGCGCGGGGCCGCGGCGGGCTGGGGGTGCCGGGGCGGGCGGGCGCGCGGGGCTGACGGGCTTCTCCCCAGGGCGGGCCGCGGGCCCGGGACGGCTGCTACAGCAACTTCAGGCCGCTGCGCGACGCCCCGCGGCCGCGCTTCTGGGTGCTGGGGGCCGTCTTCCTGCGCAAGTTCTTCTCCGTCTTCGACCGCGAGAACGACCGGATCGGCCTGGCCCCGGCGGCGTGGGTGTGAGCGCGGCCGCAGCGCAGGCGGGACCCCCGGCGCGTCGGGCACCCCACTAGGGCCGCCGCCCCCCCAACCCCACCCCGAGCTCGGCGCGCGCGCAAAGCAGAGGGTTGCGGGGCGACGCCGGACCCCGGGCTCGCTCTCGGGGACCTCGGGGCGCCAGGCGCTGGAGGAAGGGGCGGCGGGGGCGGGGGGAGGGGGGAGCCCCTCCTCAGCCAGCAGCAATTTCAGGGGAGCAGGACGAGCCGGCGCTGGAGTCCGCTGACAGCGCGCTCAGATCACCCCGCGGCTCTGCGCCCCTGGGCTGTTTTAGGACGGTAGAGCTCATGTCAAATGTTTTACTAAAATAAATAAATATTTTTCCAATGGTCCCTTCCTGTTGGGGGGCGGGGGGAGTAGGAATGGGGCTTGAATCCTAACGGGTATGGAGTTTCGGGGGGCGGGGGGGTATGGAAACATCCTAAAACGGAATCGGGGTGATGGCAGCATAATTCCGTGGATGTGTAAAAAACCACTAAACTGTACACCTTAAATGGTAGAACTGATGACATGTGGAGCTCATCTCAATAAGGGTGTGTGTGCATGTGCGTGTGCATGTGTGTATGCATGTGCGTGTGTATGTGCATTGTGTGTGCGCATTATGTGTGCATGTGCGTGTGTGTGCATATGCGTGTGCATATGCGTGTGCATTGTGTGTGTGCATTGCTTGTGTGTGTGCATGTGTGTGTGCATGTGTGTGAACTGCAGGGCCCACCCCTAAGGCTACTGTGCCGGTTAAATGGACTAAGCTACAGGAAGCCTTTAGGGCAGTGACTGTCCCTGGGTGGCGCGAGCAGAGAAGGCCCAGAAGGATGTAACGTTGTTAGTTCTACCCAGGAAGCAGCAATAAGGGCAACTTTTCTCCTTATATTTTTCCTAGTTTTTTGTTGTTGTTGTTGTATTTGGGCTTGTTTTGTTTTGCTTTTTGCTGACAGCTTTTAAGAGGGGAGAAGGCCTTGCATCATTCTGTAAAAGGCAGAGGGTTCCAGCAGGAAGGGGGTCCCCCCTGGCGGGGTTACCTGCTGGAGAAACGGTTTCCCGCAGAAAGGCGTTTGCGGAGCAGCTGGTGACGGGCCGCCACCCCGCGGCCCGAGGCCGGAGCGGGTGCCACAGCCACGCCCGCCGCCTCCCGTTCCCGCCCGTGGGCCTGACCTTGCTCCATCTGCTTCATGGCTTTTTAGCGACATGAAACCAGCACGAATTCTCCCACCTTTAGACCTGCTAATCCCACTTAGATAAATAGACTCCAAATATATACTCCCCCGCCCCTGGAATCTATTTATACCCGTGAGAGTTAGAGATCAGCCTAGATTCTAACTGCAGAGAATATCGGATCGACTATTTGCGGCTCTTAAAGTGGTGGCTGTACACTATGAGCCCCGCAAGACACCCCCCTTCCGTCAGGCCTTCTCAGGCCTCTTTGTCTAAAATATCATCTCTTTCCAGCACCCCTGCCCCCTGTCCACTGCCCTGCTTTCCCTTCCCCCAGCATCCCCACTTCACACTCTATCTCATCGCTTTGTTTACCCCACGACTATCCGTCTCTTTCCCTGGAGTGTAGAGTCCCGAGGACAGTGGCTGAAGGCTGTCATATTCCTCCACAGGTCCCCCCCACCCCGAGTGTCTAAATGAGGGGCTGGGATGGAATAGATGCTCCATAAATGTGGGTCGGTGGGTGGAAGGTGAAACCAGTGATAACAGCACACCATATCCTAGGTTTCAATTTAGTACAACTCTATAAAAGCAAAACACGAGGACCTACCCGGCCGACTACACGTATCTGCTTGGGCTGCCACAGGGACACGATACAGGGACACTGAATGTTCGGTTCCAGGCCATCTTAATACAGTGAATATCGCCATGAAGTCACACAAATGTTTTGGTTTCTCGGTGCATAAAAATGTTATGTTCAGACTACACTGTACTTGGTATGTTAAGTGTGCAATAGCATTGTGTCTAAAAAAAGGGGGTACATACCTTAATTTCAAAATCTGAGCCATCATCTGACCTTCAGCAGGTGCTAATCTCTTTGCTGGAGGCTGGGGTGGCTGTGTTGGTTTCTTAATATAAGGCAACGAGAAGCTTGCCACGTTCAGGGGCTTGTCCTTTCACGGAAGATTTCTCCAAGGCATGCAATGCTGTTTGATAGCAAATGACCCACAGCAAAAACTCCTTTCAAAATTGGAATCAAAGGGCCTCCTGGTGGCCTACAGGTTAAGTCTCAGCACTATCACTGCCATGGCCTGAGTTTGGTCACTGGCTAGGCAGCTACCCACATGGCACAGCAGACCACTCCTGTCTTACCGGCTGCTCCCCTCAGCAGTGTATTTCAGTAGATCCACCTGTTCTGCTCCTCCCTCAGTCTCTGGTGAATCCTCTCACCCCCCGCACCTCTGGCCTACACCCCAGTTCTTCTATGCAAAAATAAATTTTTTTTTTTTTTTTGTTTCTTTTATAGAGGCATGTTTTATTTATTTATTTGTTTGTTTGTTTTGTTTATACATGCACTGGGTACAGTCAGAAGCGCGGGAGGGTGAGAGAATTCACCAGAGCCAGAGCGGGGAGCAGAGCAGGCAGAAGGACCGAAGTACACTGCTGAGGGGAGCAGCGGGCGGCAGGAGAGGTCTGCGCGCCATGCGGGACCCTCCTCTGGTGGCCGGGGAGCAGCCAGGGATCGAACCGGCGCCGCAGAGGCAGCGGGCAGCTTCGCAACCCACCGCTCAACCGCTGCGCCACTGGGGAGGCCCTGCAAAAATAAATTTAAAAAAATCAAAATTGGAGTCAATCCTCTCAAACCCTGCAGCTGCTTCATCAACTCAATTTACATCCTCTCCTAACTCCTTTGTTGTCATGACAACACTGCTCAGAGCATCTTCAGCAGGAGAGGCTCCATCTCAAGTACCCACTTGCTTGTTCCTCCATGAGAAACTGTATCATGTGATAAAATCCATTCAAGTCTCATCACAAGACAGCAGCCATGGTCCCGGCCTCAGGCTGCACTTCTCATTATGGTTTCTCGCAGTTTCCGACACTTCTGCTGCTGCTTCCTCCACTGATGTATCAAAGCTCACCCATCAAGGTTGAATCAACATCTTCCAAACCCCCATGAATGCTGGTTTTTTGACCTCCCACGAATCATGAATGCTCGACAGCATCTAGAAGGGCACGAACTCTCCAGAAGGTTTCAATGTACCTTGCTCATACCCACTGGCAAGCTATAACCTAAGGCATGTGCTTCTTAGATAATAAGACTTTAAAGCCAAAAGTTCTCCTGGGTCCATGGGCTACACAAAGGATGTTGTATTAGCAGACATTAAAGCAATATTAGTCTCTGCGTCTCCACCAGAGTGCTTGGGTGGCCCAGGGCATTGTCAATGAGCACTGATACTTTGAAAGGGATCGTCTTTCCTGAGTAGCTGGTTGCAACAGTGGCTGATAATAGTCAGCAAACTGGGCTGCAAACAGGTGTGCTGTCATCCAGGCTGTGGTTCTGTTTCTAGAACACAGGCAGGGGAGATTCAGCATCATTCTTAAGGGTCCTCAGATTCGTGGGATGGCAAATGAGCATTGACTTCAACTGAGTCACCAGCTGCATTAGCCCCAGCAAGAGAGTCAGTGGGTCCTTTGAAGCTTTGAAGCCAGACACTAACTTCTCCTCTTAGCTATGAAAGTCCTACATGGTGTCTTCCAGTAGAAGTTTCTTTCATCTACATTGAAAATCTCATGTTTAGTGTATCTGCCTTCATCATGGATCTTAGCTACACCTACTGGTAACTTCTGCAGAGCCTACATCAGCACTTGCCTTTTTATGTGAGGGAGATGGCTTCTGGCCTTACACCCCATGAACCAACCTCTGCCCGCTTCAAGTTTTTCTTCTGCAGCTTCCTCACCCCTCTGAGCCTTCATAGAATTGAAGAGAATCAGGGCTCGCTCCAGATTAGGCCTTGGCTAAGCCAATTTATGCCTGGTTTGATCTTCTTTCTGAGACACTCCAACTTTCTCCATAAGAGCGGTAAGGCTGCTTCGCCGCCTTATGGTTCCTGTGTTCGCCGGGGAGCGCTTTCAGTTTCCTCCATGGGTTTTTCCTTTGCATCCACAATTGGCTCACTGTTTGGCACAAGAGAGTTAGCTTTCAGCCTGTCTCAGCTTTCAACCTGCCTTCCTCACAAAGCTTAATCATTTCCACCTTTTGATTTAAAGCAAGAGGCCTGAGGCTCTTCCTTTCAATTCAACACTTGGAGGCCTGTGGGGCTATTCCCTGACCTGATTCCAGTGCTGTTGTGTCTTGGGGAATGGGGAGGCCCAGGGAGAGGGGGAGAGATGGGCACGTCCGTGGAGCCATCAGAATACACACGGTTTGTAATTAAGTGGGTGTGCTTCCTGGTACCCCAAAACAATTACAACAGTAGCATCAAAGATCACAGATCACCATCACACACATGATAATAATGAAAAAGTCTGAAATGTGCAAATGACCAAAACGTGGTAGAGAGACGTGGCGCCAGCACGAGGCACTGACAGACGTGTGGACAGAACCCGTACGAGACACGCATCTGAGCAGCTCGGTAAGGTGAGACACGCCATGACCTTGAAATTCGTTTTCTGTACCAGTTCTGGAGCCCAGAAGTCCACGATCAAGGTGCCAGCAGGGCACTGTCCTCGAGGCTCTGTGCCTGGCTGGTGCACGGCGTGTCCAGGGCTCCCAACTCAGGCCCACACTGCGAGCTCATTCTGTCTTAATCGTCTCTTCAAGGACCTTATCTCCAAACATGTTCACATCCTGAGGCACAGAAGGGGGATTCAGACTTCAACATATGAATTTGGGGGGACACAATTCAGCCCATAACATGGAAAACACAAAAAAAGTCTACAATGTCGCCAAAGAAGGTAGGAATCAGCCTCACGAGCTCCTGGGCCCACGGCTCCCGGAGGGGGCGGTCAGGTTGCATCTGCTGGGTGTGGGGGCA